AGGTGCAGGGTTGCAAATCACTGAACTATGCACGCTACTAGGAAAGAGCAAAAAGGAAATACAAACCTTGACAAGGTGAACAGGAATGTTACACATTGTGCCCTTTCAACCTTGGTATGAACTGAGTGTCCTTGAGTTTAGAACCACCTCTGATCACAACGTTCCACGCCGTCAGCAGATATTAAAGCTAATCAATGTGTGATATTGATCAGCAATATTGATTCTATGGCAGCAGCTGGGCATCCATTACTCTGTACAAGTGTGTCTACCCAATATCATGTCATACATTCAATTTATCTTATGAACACCCTAGAAATATAACAACATTGATTAAACTAAAAGAGTTGTCTTGTTGCCTCTTCTAAAGAGTTAGTGAAAAAGAGATAGCAATACCGAATATGGTTCTACATTTTTTTATGGCTTATGGTTCTACATTTTCTTATATCAGAGATAAACAAAATTTGAAAAATTCAACAATCTCAATGTCAGATTACACATGTCATGTTCATATGCCGAGGCTCTATGTCCTGTGGAAGAACATGCAGTCTTGAGTGAGTGAATGTCAAATTCAGTATGGTTGTAAAATTTCCTTTTTTGGCTTCAATGCTACACTTCAAGTTCCAAGACATTTACCAAGGTGTTTGGTTGGTTGGTTCCATTCCAGAATGCCCAACCTTGCAGCTTAACTTGTGGCTTTCAGCTGAACTCTGGCAAGACTCCAGCCAGTGTCCTGGACAGTAATTTGACTTCTTTACTGATAATACCAACAGTTTTGTCAACATGTCCCCACAAAGCACAGTGTGTGTGGCCCAGGCTCCTCCTTTCTTCTGCCTATCTATTTAGTCTGCTGTATATCCTGGTAAAGGCATCATTAATGGAACGACTTGGTTATTTTAACAAGACTGGCCTGGTTGAATCACACTGTTCAGTGTACTTCCCTTGGGTAAGCTTATCGCTATATACTGTAGACAGTGGTGTTTGCAGCACATAAATTAAATCCACGTAACTTTTAAAACATTGTTCTTATCAAGGTCTGAAGGAGGCTGTGTTTTCAACAACATTGACTAGTTGTCCGTTAGTTTGCCTGTGTCAAGAACAATTTTTAGATAATTTCTTAAAAAAGCACTCGCTTGGCATAATAAACAAGACTTAGTGATTTATCTCAAAGTTACAGGCATGCAAACTAAGGTTGTTATCTTTCTCATTGCAATTTAAGTGTGGGAAACTGCCAAAGTAGTAGCCAGAAAGAATTACTGCCCAGCCCATAAACTTAAAAGGTTAGAGTAATAATAACATTGAAAGCTAACATAAAAGCAGAGAGTTATGATTTGCTGACAGCTCTGATCAGTTTAACTACCTCCTAGAGATGGCAGCATCCCCAGAAGTACACACTAGGCCTGTTACAGCTGTGTCTCTTCAACCTGACAAGATAGCAACTGTATCAAGGCATGGGCAGTTGTAAGTTGCAAGGCATGGGCAGTAACCAACTTGAAGCATCATAACCAAACCTTTTGGTTAAAACATAACTATGTGTACATTTAAGTATCAACATGTTTCTGTCTTGTTAATGTTTCTTATAGCCTCTGCTGAGGAATGAGGCAAAAACTTGAAAAACAAAATATTGACTGGCCTTTGTTGCTTTCATAAAATTCATTGGGCAAATCAAGCTAAATTAAAAGTTATGAATCTTCCTTTACTTCTGATTAGAACTTTCCCTATACATGTTTTAATAGCCTTTTGGAGCATCAGACAGAAACTACAGTGTCAGGCCTTATAGGAATGGCCTTGAATTTGAACTCAAATGTTGCCAGTGGACACAGAGACGTGTCAGCAGCCCTGCGAACTCTATCAACTCCAGCCTGTTTACACCACAGTTCCTGCCAGAGGGATCAAGGACAAGTTCAGGGCTGAATCTAAAGCCCAAGGTTATCTCTGAAGGGTAACTTTTCTTCCCTGCAGAGGGGATATTACTGGGTGTGGTACTTTGAAAAGGTTACCTTTATTAAGTTACAAAAAACTTAAAATTTTTCTAATTCAGTTTTACATTGTTAAACAAGTCTTCTGAATGCCACATTTGGCGCAACAATAATAAGGTATGTAAGTTGCAGGAAAGAGTTAATTTTTGGTTGATAACTTTTGGAATTTGTGGTCATGACTGTGTTTTGTTTTGTAGGCTGCTAGTACATTCATAAACTCTGGTTAGGGCAACTTATATATGATTTTTACCACGTAATTCTGGGCTGATAACTTTTGGTATTTGTGGTCGTGAGTTTCTTTTTTTTGGGGAGGGGGGGGGGGGGGGTAGGTAGGGCCTGTCTGCAAACTCTGGCTCCAGTGTGGATGCCTTACTTCTGTTGAGGATGCCTTACTTCTGCTGTCCATCTGTCAGACATGAACTAATTGACATCTAACCAAGCAAGTCATTCCCATAACACTGACAATCTGAGTCTGGCTTGTGTGTATTTAGACCTTTAGACCTAACGCATGCTGATGCTCTGCTCAATGGAAGTAGACATACAACAATTTCTAGGTAGTAAAGGTGGTTAGTACCCAGACTTCTGAGTAACTACATTACGGGCTATGTCAATGAAGATTAGACATCCAGGTAATGAGATACACAAGGAAATTGTTACCCAAGCAACCCAAGATAGATTTTGAAAGCTGTCAGACATTTCAAGTAGCATCCACTACTTTTCATCACTGTGTACATTGTCGACTTGAAGTTGAATTTGAGTTCAGCCACTAGAAACCTGAGTTTAGCCACTACAACAAACATATAGAATAAAACATCAACCTTACAGGAAAGATGCTCTTCTTCTTCAGCCTGCTACAACCAGTTTTAATTTGATGAACCATGTTTTATATAGGAAAGATGAAGAAGAAGAAGACCATGTAACCCAAGCTGGCCACGGCATCACTGTGTTTGTAAATACAGCTTCTATCCTGTGGATACCTCCATGCTTGTGGGCTAGCGGGGGATGAAGAGATTCCTGGCCCCAAGTCCAGTTTCCCTGCTCAGAATGAGGAATGTGGGATGTAAGGAAAGCTGACAGGGTGTGTTTACATCAACCTCCTGCCATCCAACTGAATCTCAGGCAACACAAACTTAAAATTGGGGACGGCATCCTTTTGGACACCTCAAACCTGATTTCAGAATGCAAAAAAATAATATAAGACTTTTTTTATGATAGGACTTTATGTCTCTTATATTCCTTTCTTGCCAAGAAAGTCAGACCTTTATTCTTAGGATCAGCTATCTAGCATCTTGTGTTAAGAAGAAATCTTGAAATGGCTCATTGAATCAAAAGTAATTTTAATATTCTCTGTTACTCTTTATATCATATTTGAGGTAACTACGACTAAGAAGCACATCTATGTGACCTTAGTTAGACATGACAATCTTTGCATATTTCTGTTTTGGCTGGCCTTCTCAATCTTGTTGAGTCGACTTTGTCTTAGGAATGGAAACTTAAATTGTGACCTCAAGACTTGCGTGGGAGAAACCTTACCTCACCACCAGACCAGGAAATTCCTGTCTACCTGGCTCAAACCTGAGGGAAATCTTAGTAACAAACGTCAACGTGACAGTTCACACTTCACACACATACCATAGACATGTACCAGGTACCAGAGACCTAGGGTTTGATATTTAGCAGGGTGCTAACAATGCAACATGTGTTTTAAAAACAACTTCCACATAGCAATTTGAAATGTATACAGAACATTAGGTATCAGTCCTATGGGTACGGCTTTCAATATACATGTAACATCAATGTGTAAAATCCTGTGTTTGGGAAGAGCCACAATGCACATTTAAGAGCCCACCATACTTATCGAAAAGACTACATGTAGGAGTCCTTCCTGGTGTGAGTGGTTCAACCTATACAGTCTTATGGCCACACCTGGGATGTTATTGAGCCCACCTGAGTTGGTACCGAATGGCTGCCATTCCAGACCCTTGCGATTCAGCCCCACCTATATTGTAAGCCCTTGGCTGCAAGGAGAGACTAGCTTGGCCCACCCAATAACATAACAAAATTCTGGAGTAACACAGCAGCTTCAAAGGCATGCAGAGACAGTTTGCTGCATGACATCAAGCGACAAATCACACTTGAGCACACCTAACTCTTACAATTTTTCAAATTTTACAAAAAGAAGTAAGGAGGATGACTCCTTGTTGCCATCCCTGTAACCAATACAGATTTAGTGCCAAAAGGCTACAGAGTTCCCACACAGAAGCAGAGAGTTCTTGGCAGTCTCCTGGATCAGACGTCCCTATACCAGGCCTCAGGAAGCCTAAACAGTGGGTCAGATGAGTTGCCTGGGTCTCTATAGGCCTGCCCATAACACAGCTGCAAGGCACAACTCTGGCCCTGGCTAGGTATAAATTGGACCCAACAGGATTCATAGACAGACTAATGATATATTGCTGTTCACACAATCATTCTGAAGACAGTAGTTATAAAAAAAGCTCTACAACGTATTAATTCCTGAATATCAAGCACTTTTCTTGAACGAAAATTCACACTTACCCATTGTCAAACAATTGCAAAGATCTCAGCCTAAGTCTGTTCGAACTTTCTAAGAATCAAGTTTGGCAACTCCTTGGCTGGGCAGGAAGTGTTGCTTCCCCCGCCCTTCCAGTTCTCCAAGTTCACAGCTGGAAACCATTTTAGCCGAATATTCTGTAGTAGCAGTCACGTAATTGTGGCATGGTCACAGATCTCTAAGGAATGTTTTCAACAGTATTTAATAAGCAGTGACTGATTAAATAGGGTGGGGGGCATCAAGACGTCAAAGAAATTACAGCTGTCTCACAACTACAACAAACTGATGATGACGATGATTCAGAACAAATAGGTGTCATAACATCTTAGTCAGTCATCAAAACCCCAAACCCAAAGTCACCTCCATTTTCTTTCCAGTTCGGCTGTCCTTTATCACTTCTTAGACAACCAGAAGAAGTCTTAAACCAACAACCCTAAGGCGTATCTTCTTACCTTAACTAAGGCACAAAACGTCTGGAAGAGCTCTTGCCCTGGCTCAGCGTAATCCTGGTCCTGTCTTGGATGTCTCCTTGGCTTGTCTGTCTTGTTCTTGAAGAGGTCTCTTTTCCTTCTGTGCTGTTAGGATCTGACCATCAGTCTAGACCTGGGGCAGAAAATAGAACAGGTTACGTTAACACATAACAGCTGCAGCAACCTGGGCTTTAACGGGGGAGGCTGTTCAAGGGGTTTTGGTGAAGCTTAATCCGGCGGAATGTTTTTGGATGAAGACTGATCCTCAATCATCATTCACAACTGAGTCTTCGTTGTGGGCTTGTCCATTCTTTTAGGTTCGAGGGGTGGCCAGGTTAATGTTTTAAAATCAAAGTAGTTTTACCTTCATTTGCATTTTAATAATAATATACAAGCAGCAGTACTTATTTTAATGTAAACTGCAGTACTGCCTGCTCTACTAGGAGGCACTGTTATGCTCATGACTTTTTGCAGGAGATGGGAGGGAATATTATGCATTTGTAACCAAATGTTGGGTTCCATTCACATTCCATAGACTTCCCTCAGCAAATACCAGTACTTGTCCTTGAAGGATTTGTTTTCTCACTACTATATTTCCCCTCTTCAACAGGACAAGTACATTGTACACGGTACAAAAACAAGTGTACTGTTGATTGAGAAAAGAAACATGATCCGAAAGGAACAAGGCAGTTTTCTGACCATCTACTGTTAAAAATAAACCTAGCTTGTAAGCAGAACATATGGGAGTTGTCTACCTGAGTTTTCATAAAGGTAAATCTAAAGAAAGATAAATATTTTTCTTCCTTTCGGATGTATGGAGCTGGTATCTAGAAATATGGCCCAGCCACAAATTCTACGAAAACAGTGGCTCATTATGAGGTTTTTAAGTACACTCAATATCAGTTATAATTTCTTAGACCAACAGGAAAGAACTCTGTGAGCGAGGATTGTTGACATTGGAGCAAATCTTTCAACATCACTTTTATCCCAAGTCAATCTTTTCTGGGCTGTCCTTCACTTGACAGAGTAGCCATCCATCTGGTGACTTGAAATATGTTTCTGTTACTTATAGGACAGTACATCATCTAAACATTTACATCTACACAAAATAAACTAAACATCCATCACAGACTTTGCACAGAAGTTGCACAGACTTTTCTCAGGAGTCTTCAGTTTCCTTCAGTGGTGACTGATCATGACAAGGTAAGACAACGTGTTCTGTATAATACACACTTTCTATATACATACATGGTATAGAAAAACTACTTTGACATTCAGTAAAATGGCAGGTTAACTTAAGATTAGATGTTTACGCTGTTAGAGTTCCTTTGAAACCGTCAATTTCTTATATCAATCCCTGTTTATGGTATTGCTGATACGACTTCAAATTTCAGAACTAAACTCTAAACCATCCTCTGGTCATTAAAACATGTGTACAAGCCCCAATGCTAGCCTCTGACAACAAGTGTCATTTATGGGAGACTAGGAAAACAAGAGTTACAAGGACAGTGGAGCCAAACCCAAACATGACAGAGTCGCTGGAAAAACATGCTTGTAAAAAGGGCCGCTGTCTCCTCTGTCTTATAACCATAAACAACAACCCCTGGCCTCTCACATGTGACTGTGTGTAGAAGTACAAGACATACTGCTACACCTGTAGTAAACGTCTGAAAATACGAGAAGCTATTGACAAATGCTTGCTTTGACTGCTAAAAAGTTAGCATTTTCTACCTCGGTATTGGTAGCATAGAGAGCAGTCACTACAGGTGTTCCATGTTACAAAGATCAGTATCATATGAAATGGCAGCTTTCAAAGCTCAGGAGCAAGTAACACAGCAAGGACAGGACCTTGTGAGGCTTACTTTACATGTGTTTCAGGTAAACAAAAGAGGGACTGCAGAAAATATTAGAATGTAAAAGGAGACAACACCAAAGCCAGTAAGGGCTACTAATGGTATATTTTGTTTGTTGAAATCAAAATTTGTACCAGGCCTACTAAAAGTAATTGGATTATATAATCATGTTAACAAACCAACTCACCAAGAAATCTAAGTAAAAATATCACTACCACAGCAAAAACTGCCAAAAAAGAAAAGAGTATACATTTTCACACAACCCCCTTCCCCACCCTTCTTAATTGATCCCTGAAGAAAGCCAGAACAAGTTCTAAAGTAACCTATACTCTTCCTAACAGACATGGCAGAAGCCCTGCAGAGAGGCCAAATGAGGTGAGACTTAAAAACATTCAACAGTGTTCGAAATACCTGTCTGCAGTCTGCAATTTGCAGATAGATTTTCAAGATTGCAGAAGAAAAATTTATACAATCTGCAATTTTGCAGCAGGAAAAATTGGCACTTGGGATTTGGTGCTCTTGGCCCCAAGGACAGACAACACTTATAAGCTCCTGTTCTGAAACAACAGGAGCTTCTTCACTAATTTACATCAACCTTGTCTTGACTTGTTTATCTTTTGTTTCCTTGTGGACTTCAAAAAATTTGTCTTCACTAATTTGCATATCAATCTATAGTTCATGCTTATAAACTTGCAAGATTGTAGTATAGAGGCTTGTGTATTTGCAGAAAGTATTTCCAAATTGCAGAACAAAATTTTGACTCTTCTGCAATATTGCAGAGCACTGAAAAAAAGTATTTCGACCACTGCTCAATATCTCTCATTTTCACATGGTAGGAAGTCCATCTTCCCATGCAAAATTCCTGACTGTTGAGGTAAACTTTGAGGTGACGAAGGATGATGAGTTAAACATCCTCTTGAGTGAATCAGGTGAGGAAAAACATGAAAGGAATTAGAATAAATTTTAATACAAATGTTCAAGAAAATAAAAGTTCTAAGGTATGAAACATGTCAAGTCCAGTTGTATATACAGGTGTAATGACCTAAATTTGTATCTATTAACTTTGTCAAATGCTACTGATCTAGATGTTAATTGTTCAATGAGCAGCATACTGGTAAAGAAACTGCTTATAAATGTTAAAAATTTTAATATACAACACAACACAGAATCATACCAGGTTACATACATGTAGACACATGACTGGCTACCTTCAACATCCCAAATCCAAACAGTCTATCCAGTTTACGTCTGGACAAAAGATGCACACATAAAGAGTCTCAAGGAAACTACCACAACTAACAGCTGAGAACATTCCCAAGATAAAAATCCTTCAGAAATTAAACCTAACTTACTTACAGACCAGTCAGTGTAGTTAAGATGTAGCCCCAAGACACGTCTGTCTTCAACTGAAACTTGTCAGGAACTATACCCAAGAACTAAAGCACAGAGGAAGTGAATAATCTACAGCTTCCTCTGTATGATACAGAAGTCTTGGGGTTCCTCCTCCAGCATTGTCTCATCATGACATCACAAGGCTGGGCTGGAGCAAAACAATTATTTGGTTCTTTGGCTGGACATATGTTAAACATAGACCCTGTTCATACCAGACTTATACTGTAATTCCATTTAATATTGCGGTTGGAAATTATAGCGGTGGGAGGAAAATGGACTAGCTCATGGCACTTAATTTTAGCGGTGTGGACAAGGCAGATGATCAAAAGTGTTCAAATATAATGTATTACGGTACTGAAATTTTAGCGGTAAAAAATAACAGCTAAATCAGCTATAATTAAGTGACAGTTAACAAATCAAGAATTACAGTATTTAGCGGTTTCAACCGGTTTTTCAAAAACCGGTTTTTATTTAACCTGGTGTGAACGCAAATTAGCCGGTTTTTTAGGGGTTTAAATCCGATTTTGAAAAACCACCTCGGGAGGTGGTTTTTGAGGGGTTTTTCCACCGAAAAACCTGGTCTGAACGCTAAGGGTTTATTGAACCGGTTTTTGCGTCATGATTCCGGGGTCACGGGGTCAGCATCCTGACCGTGTGCTACCTGCAAGCTTTTTTGATCGCGTTGTTTTGACCAACTTGAGTTCGTTTCCACTGTTTTTCCATGGTTTCTCTTCATTTTGCGATGGAATCAGCATATGCAACCTGGTCGGCGGACGAGACGCTCCTGATACTTAGGTTTGGAGAGCAGGAGTCGCCGAATTCGAAAAAGCGTGGGGGGGGGGGGCGGCGAGGGCTCTACCGAAACAAAAATGTTGGAGGAGGCTGATTTCTTGAAGATAAAGGATCAGTGCCGCAGTAAGGTAAAAAAAAACAACAGCTGAAGACGGCATACAAGTAAGAAGGCCAAGGACAACAATCGGAAGAGCGGGAGGAACGGTTATTCAAACTGCAGTCATGGCCGATTAATTGGATATTCACCGGACAGGATTTTTTCAAAACCGGTTATCAAAAGTCTGGTATGAACGCTAAGGGTTTTAGCTGGGTTTTTGAAAAACCGGTTGAAACCGCTAAATGTAAGTCTGGTATGAACAGGGTTATATTGAGAGTGAATGAAACACACACTCGCGCCTACACACTAACTATCCTATTCATCTTCTATTTGTTCTCTGTGTCGTAAGGGTTAGACGTGTGGCCAAATCACCAATTTGTAAAATAAGAAGCATTTACTACCTAGAAATGAGGATAGTGCAAAAGATTAAAAAAAACAACAGATATTGATCTATCTAAGAAAATGATAATACCTGTATTACAGTGATATCTATGATGTTTGATGTTATCCCAAGCCAAGAACGGCCCCAAATTTGGACAGGTCAGTGCTAGAACCAGTGAACTCCCCTAGTGCAGACCCCCCCACCCCACCACACCCCCCTGCGGCCTGGCTGATAGAGACCAGCTGGGGAGTACCTGCTGTTCTCATTCAGGGGTGGAATGGAAAATTCTATGCCTGTCAACTCATTAGTGGTGCAGCAGTGGGATGGATTTGGGGACACAACAAGTAATAACTGGTGAAAGATTATCGCATTTCCTAACACTTTAGCATCAGAGAACATGCATTTTAGGTTTTCAACTACACCGTAGTACACGTATACTTTGACTAATATTTCTATGCATATGCTAGATTGGTTGGTTAAATTGTCCTGACAGAAGTCACGGAAATACTGTAAATCAATATTTTGTGGTACTTTCATATTCGTGGTTTTCACTTCTATATCGCGAATTTATCATTACCGTGTACAATTAATTTGCCTACTTTTTTCCTGCACCAGCC